AAATATGGGCTTCTGAATCCAACTTCTCGAATATCATGAAATTGATGTCCAAGCCTTCTGCTGCCAGTGTTCAGACTTAGAGCTGCGCTATTGTGGAAGTTTTCGGCCCATGCGGCAAATTAAGCACCACAACATCCATTGCCAAATTCAAAGTCAGGGCTTCTAGAACAGCCCTCTCGGGCGACTAAACCCGGCGCGCGCAGAGTATCGCGACGAGATGGTCGAAATTTCTCTGAAATAGATTGATGCCGCGAAAATTAAATTAATCCTCAAGAGTCACAGATACTTGACCGGGCATGCTGAGCGATGAATGAAAGATTCAAATATAGCGTGTTGGCCTGCATTGACACCGTCAACAGCGAGTCGCTGGAGGCGGGGTACTATCAAGTGTGCGAGGGCGTCAGGTCCCATCTCGCAAGTCAGTGATACTATGAAGGCCATTATGAGGGGGGAAACGGCTATGGGTGGCCCTGTAGTGTATACAACGTGATGTATGATTTTTATTAAACAAAGTCAATCACTCAACTTTTCGCCCAGGCTGTCAAACCTCATACTTGACTCGGTGTTTGCCCGTGCAGGATCAGTTTAATGTACATATATAACAGGAACACAACAGTTTCAAATGTTAATTAGGCAAAAAACTGCTTTATGGTGGGATAGGGCCCAGTATAAATTAGATGCATAGTAAATCAGGAATACAGTGGATAAGGAATCCTCAACAGAGATTAAAAAAATGAGCAGTGCGGAAACTAGAGTGAAATCATATTTTTACAGTTGTATTTGCGGGGCTGAAGCTAATGCAGACAGTCTTTCTTTGATATGAGCAATTTGGGCTGGTTGAGATGAACGTTCGAACAACGGGCTTGCTGTTTTCCACAACTCAACTGCTTTTGGCAAATCACCCAGTTGCTCACAGATATTCCCGAGGCTGAGCATGCACTCTGCTCTGCTGCGGTGCACATCCATCCATACAAATCCCTCTAGAGCAGCAGTGAACAAGTTGGTGGCTGTATGAAGGTTACCCTCTGCCAAGTAAATATAACCGAGAAACTGAAGGGCCTTGTGCACTCCTAGGTTCTGTCTGAGCTTGAGGCTGTGGACCAGGAATGTCACTGACCAGTTCTGACTAAGATCTCTGGCTGCCCAGAGCTGGACTCCACCCAGTTTCTCTAAACAGTAGCTCACAGCTCCACTGTCTTTTCGCCAAGCAAGTTTTAGGCATTTGCGAAAACTAGTCTGTGCTGCCAAAAAGTCCCCTTCCCTCAAGGCAAGACTTGCTCGGAGTATATCACACCATAGGATACCCATCCAGTGCCCTATCTTGTCGTACAATGAGTTGGCTACATCAATACTCCTCTGCACACCACATTTTGGTGCATCAATTTCCAGATCAATGCTTGCAATATTGAGCAAGGCGACGGCATGTTTATATAAATTTTGGTCAATGGAGGCATTCTCGAGGATCTGTTTGTGGATGATATGTGCCTCCACATATTCCGATTTGAGCTCATGGACTTCTGCTTGGGAATTCATGATACTTTGGTCCAGTGAGCCACCTGACTGACCACACAACTCAAGGAGATCTCTCGCCCTTCCTAATAAAGGAATACTGTGACCATAGATGCCAAGATTGAAGTAGCAAATAGCTTCAATTCGGAGAGCTGAAGCTTCTTTGTATAAATCTGCAGTAATTCTGGCCTGCCTCCGTGATTCATATGCGTGCTCACGGCCTGTAGATTAATCACCCATTTGCCACTTCAACCATGCTAACGTGCACCACAAGTCAGACTGCCGTTTTGAGATCCTGGTTGAAATCGATAATTCCAGGCCTATGTGAGCAAAGTGCATGGCCGTAGAGATGTCATTCTTGTAGTATCGATAATATTCTGCTAGGATGCTATAGAATGTACCTGATAAAAGCATCTCAGTATTTGCCAGCTGGCCTAGATAAATTGATGTATATCCTACATTTCAGATCTGGATCGTCAAAGTGTGAGAAACATTCTAGTGCTTGCTCCACTTTTTGGGATGGATCTGGGATAGGATGGTGGATATATCTTGCGAAGAGCTCAGTGATGAAATAAACCTCCAGTCTATGGTCCCTGGGGTAAGGCAGAAGATTGTAGATTTGATCCATCAATGGAAGTTTCCCATGTCCAGAGGTGATACTGAAGCGATCAAAGGAGCATGTGCAGTATATTGCCTTGACAAGATCTGGATTATTATAGTTTAAGCTCTTGACCAAAACACTCTGAATGTTGGCCGAGTTTGATTTTATTCGAGTCACCAGTGTCTGAGCAGACAGGGTCCCATTGTATCTCTCATTAACCTCAAGAAGCTCTTGGAAATAGTTCATGAGGGGTTGAAACAGATGAAGTGTCAGTGGATTTGTCTTCTGCACATGTTCCCGGATTGGTACCAATACCTTGAGACGTTTCTGGTCGCATATATAGGCTAGAGACGTCCGAAGCAAAGTGGCCTTGCAGGATAGAATATTTTCGAGGGGGCTTTCACTATGTAAAAGTTCCATGTCCGAAAGGCCATCGGGTAGCATTGAGAGCAGGCTCAATAAATCACGGGAGTGGGGTGGGTATCCCAGCCGAGGGCTTTGAAGGGACAGTGAAATCGATAGATCCAGATTTGATTGTCTGTCAAGCCCCTGAGATAGTAGTGATGTCCGCTCAGTTTCCCAGCGACTCAATACACTAGAAATGCCTTCAGAGTCCACCAAATGTGCCAGGAGGTCAATTGCTAGTGGCACATTATCTGTGAGGAGCATAATCTTATCAACATCTTCATTATCATGGCCATCATCTGCGATTTCAAGGAATGTTTTCTGGGAGGCATCCCTGGTCAAGGGTTGCAATGGTTCCAAAAATGGTCTTGTCCACTGGACATTGGCAGGCCTTTCTGCTCCACGCATTGTGATCTAAAAGTGTCTTAGTATATTCATTACAGACAGTATCTGGCCTTCCTTACAATCAATGCCAGATGATCCACATTAGCAAGGAATGCCAAGAATCTTTCAACCTCTGTGCGGGTCTCTGCGGGCTCCCAGATGGTCTCCAAATTATCCAAAATCAATAGGGAGGGTGAACTGTTGGTGAAATGGTGGATGACCGGGTGTGTCAGGTCTTTCCCTGGCTTTAATCCTAGATGTGCACCTATCAGGGCAGAAAGTTGAATACTGTTTGATACAGTGTCACAGATGACGAAGAAACGATGTTGATCATATCGTGCGGTGATCTCGGGATGGTGGAGAATGGTTCGTGCGAGACTTGTCTTGCCCATTCCTCCTGGGCCCAGAATAACTATCCTGGGTGTCTTCTGCCTAAAAATTTGAATTATGGCTGAGACCTCATCGTCACGCCCGTGGAAGATCTTAGGCTCCGATGGCAATACGGAGAACGAGTCCGTACTATTGGGGTTCAGCATTAGGCTTTGAAGAATTGGTGCTAAAACCTACCTCTGTTGGCAGCTTGAGAGGCTTCTGCTAAGCTGAGGAAACAAGCAGTCTTATCATTGATGTGTGAGGTGAGCAGCTTGAATAATGACCTACCACAGAGGCTCTGTCAGAGCTAAATCCATCGGAAAGCTGTGAAATCAATTCCAGGACTTCCTGGTGTGTCTTGCGTGCATATTTTTGCATCTCTGTCAAGTCACTTGAGATGCGGACACCATCCATCTGCACCATCTCCTTTTTTAGCAGTACAATGTAAACATGAGAGTAAATTAACCTTGAAAACTTCAAGTGCTTGTTGCAGGCCTAGATGACAAGCCCTTGACAGTCCAGTCATCTCCCCTTGACGGAAAAAGTGCTTAATTTTGTTAGATCTCTGTTGCTGAGCTTCAGCTAAGGTATGAATCTTGTGCAGGGTCCTATTGCCATCCATCAATATCAATGGCTCAGAATGTAGCAGAACTCACTCGGTGAGCTCCCCCAAATTGTGGAGCATGCGTGGCGACAATTCACCATCTGTGTTTACCGTGATGTGAAGATGGATGATAGAATAAAGGAGCTCATGAATCTTTTCCAACATTTGCGTGAAATCATCCCTGTTTTTATTGATGGTCTGCCAGGACTGAGCCAGGGACGGGAATATGATTTTTTTGGTGAAACTCACCAGTGTGGTAGTCAGAAGCGATCGAATCGTGGCGCAGATCGGTCCCAAGAACGGTTTCTTGAAACTGTCAGATACCATCTCCAAGATTTTGACAGCGGCATCCAAGGAGGCTGTGATGTTGTCGAGTCGGATTTGGGCTAAAGTAGGCGGGGACATTGTGAAAAATATTGGACTTCGGAGAGCATGTGGTGAGGGCTTTATATGCCATGGCCTGAGACCATCCTTGGGTCTAAAACTACCTAGCTCTCACGCCACCAACTAAGGGGATATGTGGTTGTCAACAAAGTGGGCCCGTTAACAATGTTTTGAGGTGGTTGCCGATTGGCAAAATCATAAGGGAACATGGGCCTCCTTTCATTCCAATCGCCTCGTGGGGGGCGAGCACTTGCAAGAATGCCAAGAATGTCATGAATTGGCCGACAAGTTCGGATCGATTCTCCAAGTGTTTGTCTATTCTTGTGTGTGACCGACCAATGCGATCCCCCAGTGCGTGCCCTATAACGTGGTTTGCTTTTTTTGTAGCACCGTCTTACGGGAGGTCCGAGGGTTCGACTGGCAACTGCCGAATGAGAATCTCAGTTGATGGACGAATCGGATGCCAAGGGCGCAGATAGAAAGGACATTGACTAGAATACAACTAGTAGTGGGAACCAGGAACTTGAAGAACCTTCCGCCATAAATTCGACAGTCGGGCCCTGAATATGTGAACGATCGCGAACGGGTTAGAATTGACATTGCGCGGGACTGAACTGAAGATCGCGTGTTATATAAATAAGTTCTAGTTGGCTCCATGGGAGGAGGGGTTCGAGGATTCGCTGAAATCATCCCTGTGAGTGGCAGAGAGAAAAATCAAAAATCTAGGGTTCCAAATGTTCATGACTCGAGCCGGAGTCGAACCGGCGCTCCTGCTGAAGACGGTCTTCAAGAATCCCCGAATTGAGTGCAGGTGCGGACCCTCCGCTATCGAGCCGTTCTATCCTACACCCTATCCCATAATATATCAGCGACAGCGAGGGTGGTAGTAATATTACTTCTAAAGATCCTGCAAGTCCCCGTTGCTCCCGGCAAGAGAGCAATCCATCCTTCTCCGCTGAATGTTTCCTACGGATGTATCTTCCGCTCGGTGATGTGGTAGCGAGAATTCACATGCAAAGACAGAAAACAAAGGCCCAGTCGGCTGTGCATGACTCGAGCCGGAGTCAAACCGGCGCTCCTGCTGTATCTATCCTCTTTTCTGGCAATTGTACCAGTCGCAGGCGCGGCCCTCTCACTGCGTTCCGTGGGTCCGGAGACGAAGGCTGTGTCCCTTGACTGACGTGTACCAACATCAGGAAAACCGTAGCCAAGCCATAGTGGAGCCATAGTACTATAGGTTCCATATCAGCTCATAGCACCTCATAGCATTAGACAGTGCTATGTAATGGCGTACAAAACACTATGGAGTGCTGTCCAGCACTATGCTGCCCTGCCCGCCTAGCACTGGGCACTATAAACTGCGGCTAGGCTTGCTTGCATGAGCAGCTCAGTGCTACCGGCTACTGACTGTGGTCCCTCACAAAAAATGGTGGTACAGATGTGCAGTGCTCTTTATATTCAAGAAAATTGAAGAGAGCTCAAATTACCTTAATGCAAAAGGCCGCACCCGCGGCGCAGTGTTCGCCCATAAGGCCTTAAATGAGGTTTTCAAAATCCCTAAGGCCTCATAATGCTCAAGGCCTTAACCTTAAGGCCTCATTTAAGGCCTTAAGGGCCAATTTTCTCTGCTAGCCTTACCGCTTCCATTATATCGTGATTTCACTATATGGAGACCGTTCTGTCACAAGATACAGCACATTTAAGCGTCGCGGATATGCATTGTATGCTACCCAACATATTCCTCATCTGAGGGAATCTCCACCGCTCCATCGTCGGGCTGTGCGTCCTCATCTTCGTCAGCCTGACGTTCAGCATCCTAGATAATTTTGACTTGAAAAAAAAAAGGAAATGTACTTTGACTTGTCTGAAGTGCTCCAATTGCAACGGAGAGAGTTTGCTCCGTGTTTCCTGTCGGATCGCTTTCAGCATGGCAAACACGCGTTGACAGTTCTCGGCACTGTCGGAGGTAACTCGAGGGGGATTCGGAGTGCCGGAAGTCACTGACTGGCTGGCTGTCGTGTATGAGGGAAGAAATAATCGATATCGCTGTTCCACAGTGAGTCGGGCCGAGGTCTTAAGGCCTTAAGGGATGGGGGAAATTTCTGGCCCAAGCCCTAAGGCTTAGCTTAAGGCCCTATTAAGGCCTTAAGGCTCTTAAGCCCTTAGGCCTTAGGGCGAACACTGCCGCGGCGCACTGCTCCTTCTTCTTCCCGGGCGCGCAGCGCGCTGCTGCGCGTCTTGGTGAGGGAGAAGGTCCCGGATCGTTGTCGACGACAACTATATGAGGGAGGGATGAATTGTGTACTAGATTGTTGTCGAAGATCGTCGAGGTTGAAAGTCGAATGGCAAGCGGCACACGTTGACGTAAAGTGGCGGTGCGGTCAAACCGCGCCAAACAGTGGTTGGTCTCGTACCACCATCCTCCTCCAACGACCTCGTCCTCCTCACGTCCTTCTTCGAATTTGGTGCCCGATTTCTTCCTCCCATTGTCCTCGCATTGCATCCACCTTCCTCCGCGCTCCTTCTGACCTCCAACGAACCTCGAGTGGCGACGCGGCACCTTGGCTGGGTTTGTGCCAGTTGCAACTTTGGTGTGTCTGCTGTCTCTTTCTGTTGAATATTCCGTTCTCACCGACAGTTCTCCTTGTGTCATCTCCCTTTGTCTCCATCTCATTCACGCGACTGTTCTCTTTATCGCCCTCACTCGCTTCTCGTCGCCATGTCTCCCACTAACTCAGTTACGGGTAAAGGCTAACGACCGGTGGGGCGAGCACGTTTGGAGCATGTTTAAGGACAAAATGACCAGTCTCCTCTGCATAAGCCCCTCCTCTAGCCTTGATGCGAGGTTGACACAAACCGAAGGGCCTTCGTCTTGGGATGCATCACGGCCCTCCCGTTGCGCTCCCGCATGGACCGCCCGGTCCACAGACCTGTGTGAATGTCCCACTGGCCCTTTGCATGTGCTCTGACCGACTTTCGCAGGTGTGCTCCCTTCTCCGTTGAGCCCGCGTGATGGACATGACGAGCCAGGTATTCTGTGTCTGGCTGGTGGAATGTAGCTGACGAATGGACAGGCTTACGTATCGCGCTCATCGTGCCCTTCCCTGTCGGCGCGGACCTCGCTGTTCTTGGTACTTCCTCCATTCCGTACCCTCGGTAAGCACACTATTGCTTTCTGCCAAGTTCACTGGTGGTTTGTGCTTGTGGACCTTCCGCATCACGGTTTAGTCGCCTCCCCGTCTACCCTGGACTCTGCATGAAGAGCATCACCAACACAGCTTTGGTGTGGCTCACGCAACACCCTCCATTCCGCTGTGCCGACCTATAGTATGTTTGTGTGTTTTCTTGCCTTTCCTTCGCATGTGCTGACCTGATCTAGGTTTGCTTATTGATTCCGAGCAGCTATGATGCGTAGAACAGGTGGGCAACCTGTTCGGCATCTACGCATGCCAACAGTTTGCCAGGCCGCGCGTATTCTGATGCGTAGATGGCTCGCTTTTGTATACTTTTATATCAATTAATTTACCTATCAATGTATCGCCTTATTCTATCTTATTGTGCGCCGGAAATGCGTGGATTCGTGTGTGTAGAATACGGTGGGAAGATAAATGTGGAATATTCTGGGGCCGTTCATAGTGATTCCATAGTGATTCCATAGTGGGAACACGGGGCTGTCCAGCACTTTCATAGTGCTGCATAGGGGGGATGTAGCTATGGGCACTATGGCACTATCCAGTGCTATCCAGTGCTATCCAGCGTCAGTCGGTTTTCCTGATGAACGTGCCGAAATACACTACGTCACCGTGACGGCGATCAGACGTGCGTACCGAGCCGGTACCGACATGGGTCGGCGAACCCCGGCTCCTTGCGTCTACACTGTTCGGTCCACACTGGGTGTACCTTGCTCGCAGCCCGCTCCGGCCCCCAGATTTCTTCCACTGTGCTACCTACTCCCACTGTCACAACGTGTATTTGATATTAGTGATCACCACGAAAGTTTAAACCTGATGATGCCGTCGCCACGGCCGGCGATTGCTGATGCCCTAGTCGGCGGCGCACCAGATCGTTGGGCGCCGCCACGCCCACGTGCTGTAAGAGGCACACGCTAAATGCTGGAGGTCGGAGGTCGTTGGAGGTGGCGATCGGGGTTGTGTCATCAGTCCGTCGAGAATGGAGGCTCAAGCCTGGTTGTTCGGGTGTCGCAAAAGCATCAAAGCATCAGGAAAACCAGAAGTGTCTTGACAGTGCGGCATAGCACTCTATAGCACTGTGTAGCAAAATGTGGCTGTGATGTACCTATGGCCCACTATGGATTAACTATGGAGCACTATGGAGCACTCTACAGTGCTGCCTAGTGTTGCATAGGCCCCATAGGTACATCTCGGCTACGGTTTTCCTGATGAAGGCAGTGCACTGCCTCTGCCAAACACATGCAACATATCAAACGTGATCGCGCCAGTCTTTGCCTTTTCGCCCTTGAGATCATGACTAAGCATCTCCTTCATCACCAAAAGCGGGAACTTATTGTAAGCGCGTGCATACCCTTACAAACCTCACATTCATCACAATCCACTACAAAGGGCCATCAGCTTGGTGGTGCTTCAACCAGGTTTACATGCAACCTCCGATATTGCAATCTTCACAGACTTTATGAGGTCTACAAAGGTTTTTGACCCTACAAGGCTTTGTAACCACATATCTCGCAGCTCTAAGATTTCCATAATATGCTGCAGCAGGCAGAATATAATATTGCTCGCAGACCGAAAGAGGTGAAAAACAAATATAATTCACATAGACTACGACATGAAGAAAGTAACAGAGAATGGCGGAAAGGATAAAGACAGCGGGAGAGGAAAGAAGAGACCGGACTCAAGGCAGCGTTACAATCGGAGACTCGGAAACAGAGCGGATTGAGGATCTTGGGGATTTGAGGACGTTGCGGATCTTGGGGATTCGGGGACGTTGCAACAGAGGGCTTGAACGGGTTGAAGGCGTTTGCAGAGCTTTGGAAGAGAGGGGGTGTGTGTTTGACGACGTTGACGTGTTGAGGCCCGGAGACTTGGCTTGCAATCTTCGGCGCTTCAGGATCCGGGGGAATGGGGAAAGAATCATTGAGTCCGCCGTGTCAAAGAACGAAGTGGGAGGGCGGAGGACGTAAGCCAGAGAAGCGAGATAGGAAGGAGTGGTGGGAACCTGGGAGGAGATGGGAGGAAGGAAAGAGCGCAAATCAACATCAGCGAACCATCAAACGTTTTATATCTGCCGCCCGCGTACGGACCCGTCCCCATGGGCATCAATCGCAATCAATCTGATGCGTGCTGATTGCGAACGCTCAACGCGAGGCCCACCTTGCCGCACCGCACGTCGCGCCCATGCCTAGTATTATCAGGTCCCCCCGCCCTGCCTTCCCCGCAACGTACATGGCAAATGCTGGCTCTTCAGTCACACACACACACACAATCTAGTCATCCAGACCTATGTCGCCGTCGGCGTTGCAGTGGCTCAGCCGCCATACATGGCATGCACCATGGATGACGATTAGGAGGAGAACGATGTCGGGCCCGAGAGCAGCGACAAGATCTAGCTACTGTATAAGTGATTGCAGTCTTTGCCGTTTGGCACGTGTATATTATTCCGCAAACGACTTTACAGTATTTCGGTGCAGCAGTAATATTTGCGAAGTTGTTCGCAAGTCAATACGAGCCCAATAACAAGCCGGTGGAAGCTTGGAAAAAGCTCACCAGCTCGGTGTCCGGTTTGCAAGGGTCTGTGATGGTTCTGCAAGCCTTTGCAGAACACCATCAGCCCGGCACGGGTCTGCAGCCGTCACAGGCGATCACATTTATCTCCCACTTCTGGTGATGTTATCTGGAAGGTATACACACGTGGTCTCGGACACCTTCTCCTGCCGGACGAGCGATCAGTTTATATGTTTTATGTTTTATTCCTCGTCGTTGCGCTCTGTGACATTGCTTATTTGGGAAGAACAATGTATTTCTGGGTGGCCGAAGTGGGGACCAACCTGGTTTGCTTCAAACCACCTCTTCGGGCCCTCCGAAACTCTCCCCGCCAACAACCTCCACTGCTAAAACATTACCGACACGTCGTTCACGCTCCTCGCGCCATATTGACGCGCCATCAACCCTTTGGAGCGTCATAAATGTCTCAATTCAAGTTCCGGGCATTTATTCCACCCGCCAAGCCTATATCCAGCAGTCTTGATACTTCAGTATTTCCCGATGTGGCATCACAAGCGCCCGCCGTCGAACCCGCCGCCACTCGCGCAGAATCTGAACAGCTTCTCAGACAAGCCCTGTCGATGTATAAACAGATGTTCCCCATTGACCCTAGCACTCCGCAGCCTACATCGTACTACCGCCACCAGTATTATACCCCTACGGCCTCACACTCTTATTACCGTACACACTGAAATGCATTAAATCTTCATTAAATCCGATTTTCCCTCTATTGCCACCTACACTCTGATGCCACTTGCCTCCGTCTTCGCCCAGTGACAGTGGCAACTGTGACATGCTTTAATAAATGTTTTTACGGAGATTGAAGTATAAGATGGCCTTTGATGCGGCCGCTCTGCCGATGATGCCGTTCCCGAAAAGGCATGTCCATTTAAGGAAACCCAAGGGCGAAAAGACGAAAACTGATCGCGCCCGGTCTTTACATCATCATCATGTGTTCTACTATAGTAAACTGAGCCTAGGGAGGAAGACGCATCCGGTCTACCCATTGTATGCACACCTGCGTGTCCTTGTGTGTCGACCTGTACTGTCCCATGTCGACACACTCTTCGTCTCCGGGCCCCCGGAACGCAGTGTCTGCCATTGAGTCGTTGAATCCTACCATCAGTTCCCGCATCTGGATCGAGCGAGCCAATGCGTGGGAGCGAGCGAGCGGTTGATAAAAACTACTCCGGACCCTATAATGACTCGAGCCGGAGTCGAACCGGTGTTCCTGCTGTATCCAATTACCACATCGTTCACCAATCGCAGCCGCGGACCCTCCGCCATCGAGTCGTTCCATCCTACCCCCTATCCCTGAATATATGAGCGACAGCGAGCGGGTGAATATTGGTATTGTGCCCGTGCTGAAGATGCGTGGCAAGTCCCAAATAGGAGGAGGGAATATCACCCCGGTCGTCCCGAACGATGGGGCGGGCGCTGCGCCTTCGAGGTAAAATCTCTGTGGCCATGTGTCGCGGGCAGAAAAAGAATGAATCTTTCAGCCAAGATGTACATGGCTCGAGCCGGAATCGAACCGGCGCTCCTGCTCAACGTGGTTTTGTATCGAGTCGTCCATCCTACACCCAGTTCCTGCATATAGATGGAGATGTGGAGATGTGGCCACGGAGGGACGGAGAGCGTTCAAGTTGGTCTCGATCGGCTGAAGACTGTCAAGTTCCCCCTAATTCAACTTCAACTTGAGTAATTGGGAACAGGCGGGGCCCCGTCATCGAGTCGTTAAATTCTGTACCATATCCCATAACGTTTAACCTTAATATATGTCGTGGAGTAGGATGGAGAGTAGGCAGGCGCATTGATAGAAAAAAAATTCGCCTAACCCAAGGTATGGCTCGAGCCCGAACCGGCGGCTCCTGCTGGATGGTCGATTCGTATGAAGGGGGAACAGGCGGGGACCATCCGCCATCGAGTCGTTCCAGCGTACACCCGGTTACTGCATATATGTGGAGATGTGGAGCTGTGGAGGGACCAAGAGCGTTGGTGGGGCTGGTGCGGCTGGGTCGCGCGCGACACCAAAATTAATGAGCGGAGAGAATTGCCGGAAGACGGGCTCGCGCGCATAGGGTACCACCAACAAGTTGCGGATCCACGTATTCATTTCACCGATAGAAATAAATGAACCTCTATAAGCAGATGTCCGTAGTCCATCGAACGACGGCTTGCATTGCCCCTCGGGCATCTCGCCGATCGCAGCCGTAGCAGCGGCGTCGAGAACCGGCGGCGCGTAGAACTCCCACTCGAGCGTCCCGCCGTATGCGCGCGGGAGTTTCACCGTTCCCCACGCCGAAGAGCTCGAGCCTCGAGGAGTTTCTTGGTCGGGTTCTCGCCGAGGATGCGGATCTTGTTTTGCGTACCGGGGTCGAACCAGTCATATCATTAACGCGAAATGTATAACGAACGGAAGGGGGAAACTACATTTATCTAGCCTAAAATCGTCGGGAAGAAGGGCGGCACATTGACGAGGATGATCTCGGGGTGGTTTGCCGACGCGAGCGCGAGAGCTGGCTGCGCAGGCTACACATGAGCCCGAGGGAGGGGCCCGCGGGGGCGATGATGGTCGTGACGCAGCTGATGGGCGTGTCGCGCGCGAAGCGGAGCATAGCTTCGAACGCTGGTGCGGGAGCCGGGTTAGAAGAGGATGGTGGAAAGGTAAGGAAGACGCACATGCGCTGGTACCGCCGTGCTGTGGGCGCGGCGTTGAGCGCTTTCTGCGCTTTTCTGGGCCACCGAGTCCATCGTCGCGTAGATCGGTACGCGACACAGAACGGGTAACCCAGAGGAGAAGTCAGAACTCACCTTATCCCGCCCGTCCGTCCAGCTCGAATGGCCGCACCGGCTAAGTATGTATTCTCAACCTCGCCGCATCGAGCGCCGGGAACAGTCTGTCCGCGTCCGCGCCCCGCATACCGCTTCAGTAGCGGCGTGATCCCAGCTGCGCGCGCGGAGGAAGCGGCTGGGTGGGTTGAGCGCGCTGTTGACGCTGAAGGCTGAGTGTGCAGGACAAGTGCAGCCTTGCAGGACGCACAGGAGCGTTCAGGGAAGGCGAGGCGGCAGCGGGGCGCGGGTGCGAGCGCGAGTTTGAAGGCTGTGATGGCAGCTTTTTTCGGGCTTGTGAGATGCCCGAGATGGCCCGCGTAGGTTCAAGGTCGCCGCGCTGTACGGGGATCGGGGGGTCATCGATCATCGGTTACGCGGACCGGGCTTTCCCGGCATCTCCCGATCAATCGCTTGTGATGGCACAGCCCCGAAATGCCCGGATATCCGTCGTCGCAGAAGTCGGACAGAAGGATGCGGACAGTCTTGAGGGTGGGAGAGGGCCGGATAATGAGTAGCAGACGCCTGAAACCAACACGCAGGACCGGGAAAATCATGGGAGAAATTAGAATTGTCCCATCGGGGCATGTTTGAAGTTGAAGTTGAAGTTTCCCGATAAGAGACAAGCCATGTCGTCACAAGATGAAAGTACTGCCCGGGCGCATCCTCGAGACGCCTCATCTTCCATTCGGTGCTCGGTCATAACCGCTTTTTCCGGGCAGTACATGTCAAAAAATGGTCAGTGATGCATCGCTCGAAGCGTTCTCTGCAACAACGTCTGAGCGCACCAACGGGGTGGGGAGCGCGCTGGTAACTGAATAGAGTAGCAGTAGAGCGTGGTTAAATGGCTGGAGGCGGAGACGCCCGCGCAAGGCGTATATCCAGCGGTGCAAAAACGTAGCTTTAAACTATGTTCAATATTATGACTCGAGCCGGAGTCGAACCAGCACCTCCTGCTGACGATTTCAGAAGACAACAACACCAGGAGCAGGCGCGGATCCCCCGCCATCGAGTCATTCTATCCACCAACCTATTCCTGAATATATGAGCGGCAGCGAGGGTGTCAATATCACTTGCGGAACCCGAAAATCGCGCAAGTCCCGTTTCTCCCGGTAAGAGAGAGCAGTGCATCCTCCTCCGCTGAAGATTTCCACAGATTTCCACCTGGTGGTGGCTAGCGAAAATTCACATTCAAAGAAAGGAAAGGGTGCTGGACATGACTCGAGCCAGAGTCCAACCGGCGCTCCTGCTGCATCTATCCTCTTCTCTGGGAATTTTACCAGTCGCAGGCGCGGCCCTGAATCCCACCCTCAGTTCCTGCATCTGTATCGGACGAGCCAATAAGTGGGAGCGAGCGAGCGGTTGATAAAAGCGGTTCATTATCCCCATAATGACTCGAGCTGGAGTCAAACCGGTGTTCCTGCTGTATCCAAATGCAATATCGTTTATTAGTCGCAGCCGCGGACCCTCCACCATCGAGTCGTTCCATTCCACCCTCCATTTCTGAATATATGAGCGACAGCGAGCGGGTGAATATTGAGATTGCGCCCTTGGTGAAAACGCATGGCAAGTCCCAGCTGGGAGGAGGAAATATTACCCTGGTGGTCCGAGAAGGGGGGCTCCCCGCCTCGAGGTAAAATCCCTGCGACCCGCAGGGAGAAAGAGAAGAAATCTGGCCCCGAAGATCTATACGATTCGGGCCGGAATCGAACGGGCGGCTCCTGCTGAACACTATCTTCCTCCGCCATCGAGTCGTTCGGTCCTACATTCCGAGTCGGGGCCTGTATATACTTAGAGATGTGGAGGAACGGAAAGCGTTGGTCGATCGGCTGGAGACTGTATTCTCCCTAATTGGGAACCCCGTCATCGAGCCGTTCGATCCTACACCATATCCCTGAACGTTTAAACTTAATATATGTGTCGTGAATTAAATAGAAAACGTGCAGGCACATTGGTTTACAAAAAGAACTCACATCTGCACCAAGGCATGGCTCGAGCCGGAGTCGAACCGGCGGCTCCTGCTGACGAATTTCGGGGGAGTGGCCACGAGGAGCAGGGGCGGACCCTCCGCCATCGAGTCGTTCCATCTTACACTTGATTCCTGAATATATGAGCGACAGCGAAGGTGTCAATATTACTTGCGAAACCTGAAGATCGCGCCAAGGCCCGTTGCTCCCGGTAAGAGAGAGCAGTGCAACGTCCTCTGCTGAAGAGTTTTTGTGTCCGATTCTCACCTGGCAGATAACAGGTACAACACTCGAGGTACGAGCGAAAATTGTAGTAGCATTTGTTCATAAGAGACTGGATAACAGAGGAAAAGAGGAAGGAAAAGGTGTTATGTGCAGGCGTACTTCAGACGGAGCCGCAGTCCGAATTTAACCGGCTGCGCATTCATTCGCAAGACTGTAATTAAGACATGCACCACTGGCACGACCCCCCGCCATAGAATTGTCCCTCTTATACGGGTTTCTTCGTTGAATAGGGTTCACTGGCATCAGAGGAAAGAAAAAACCAGTAGACTGCATATGACTCGAGTCGGAGTCGAGCCGACGCCTCCTGCTGAACTCTTTCTTCACGAGGACCAGTGAGAGCAGGCGCGGGCCCCCCGCCATCAAGTCTTTTATCTTGCACTTGGTTCCTGAATATATTGATTCTCGAGGGATAGGCTGCCCACCACCGCTCACCCCGCCCGATTAGCCCTCAGCGGCATCGACTCACCGTGCCCCAAGCTGCGCTAGCTCTCTGCACATGGGACCATGAACTGGGTCCTGCTCGGGTGAATCCAAGAATAAATGTGGCGTTGAATCTATAAGAGCCCTTTGAAAGCCAGTCCTCAGCTGGAATCGCCGCTGGCATAATCACAACTGTCCAGGCCGACCACGGCGTTCAGACTCAGGACACGACGGCCTGGGAAGGAGAGCAGAACATCAACATCGCGAGTCCCCGAATTATATTTCACACCGGTGGTGAGCCTGATGTTCAGGCCTTCAGCTGCGAGCGCGCGGAATTGTTACATGGTCAAAGTGGCAAGTTCCCACTTGCCGTCGCGCAAATCCGGGCGACTAGTGAGATGCATTACAAACGACTCTACTTGGGATAGCCGGGCGCCCCAGAGACGAAGACGTTTCAGTCGGGGCAGGATTTGGAGGTAAACGCGGAAGAGTTGGCCGGGCCGTGGCTCACCCCATCGTAGCTCCGCCTCCGTGACAGAGTATGCGGCACGCCAGCACGCGCGCAGAGTCCTACCATGACGTAGGTCATGCCGAGGGAAAGAAATTTCGGGACGCATCCAGAGCGCTGCATAAATGACTCGAATATGATGTGGTGGCCGGCAACAACGATGTCGACTGTGAGGCGCTACAGGCGGGGGAGCTCCAGGCTTTGGAGGGGTTCAGGGCCGCAATTGGAGGTGAAAGATTCCAAATGGGACAGGGTGAGGGCTGGGGTGGTGGGTGTGGCCCAGCGCGCGTTGGTGACGGTGAGATGCACGAGTCTACGGCACTCTCGAAGCAGCGGCATGTATTCCGCTCAGTCTACGCTTTGGGACAGTGCGAGAGCGGTCAATTGATGCCAGGGAATGTCGAATGTCAGGTGAGGAAGGGTGTGTATGTGCGCCTCGCGGAGTAGAGGGGCATCTTGGATAACAATGGTGTTTGGAAGGAGTGCGCCCCAGTCCCGATCGGCGATATCAAAGGATATGCTCCGGAGGATGGGAAAAGCGAGGTGGGGAATGTCCAGCTGTGTAAATGACGCGAAGGGGAGCCCGAATGACATATCCTGCCACTGGCGCGAGTTAAAGATGCTCGTCTCGATCATGGCGGCTGCCCGAGAAGTATCTTTCAAGAAGAGCGAGTAATTCAGGGGCTGGTTTCCGGCGCGTAGCAACCATGGCTTCAGGGTCTCTACCGACGACTCGTTCCCGAACGCCAGGGATCGTCACAACTCGGGGGTGTTCAGAGCGACCCGCCGCCATTGACCACAAATCTGGGCTAGGAGCAGTGGGGCCGCGGAGGGTGAAGGACGTTGACTCACGAGGTACGTCGGGAGATACGCAGTTGCGGAAGATCTCCATTGTGATTTCCGTCGGAAGTGATAGAACGGGGTAGATTATTGAATCGGATTCGGTTGTGTGCTTCTGCGAGCAACGTATTCATCGAGAGTGGCTCAATCCTATGGATGCGGATTTGATGCTTTGTGCTGTTGATCGGATTCGGCTTGCTTGGAGACCATTCGTGATCCGTACCAAGCGCCACGGCCATCACCGACTTTCCCCCTCACAGTTCCTTATGTTCTACCCCTGACACCGGAGGCAAGGGCCGACGCATGTGAACCCCACATGCGTTAGACGCATGTCGCGTTGACATGCGTCGGCTTTGCTCCCGGTGTGAATGAAACCTTGATAACGCCATTTACTTATCGCGGGGATACTTATGGGGACTTGGAATGCGAGACGGAAACCATTGCCCAGACGATTTTATAAATGGCGAGCTGTGCTATGTAAATCACCCTGTTTTCTTACCATGGGCAGAGTTTCATTTTGAGCTGCGGTTTAGCATTGATATTGCGCGGGGTTTGATATTAGGTTTTTACTGAAGATCGCGTGGTAAGTTCTAGTTGGCTCACTAGGAGAAGGGGCTCGAGGGTTTACTGAAATCATACCTGTGGGTCGCAGGGAGAAAAAGAACGAATCTTGCACCGAAGATGTACAGGACTCGAGCCGAAATCGAACCGGCGGCTCCTGCTGAACATTATCCGCCAACCCAAATTGGAGCAGGTGCGGACCTTCCGCCATCGAGCCGTTCCATCCTACTCTCTATCCCTGAATATATCAGTGACAACGAGAGTGTCAATGTTACTTGCGGAACCTGACCTCCACCAATCGAGCGTTCAAATCGGGAATATATGACCGATAGCGAGGGAGTCAATATTATGCCCTTGCGGAAGCTCGTGCCTGTCTCGTTGGCTCCGGTGATTGAGAGCCGTCCATCCTCCCCCGCTGAAGATTTCTTTCACTGTTGTAGTGTCCACTTGGGAAAAAATACCGCATCACTCGAGCCGGAATCGACCCGGCGGCTCCTGCTGAACAGTGTGTCTTTCCAGAATTGAGAGCAGGCGCGGACCCTCCGCCATCGAGTCGTTTCATCCTATATCCTATTCCTGAATATATGAGCGATAGCGAGGGCAATATTAGGTCCTTGCGGAACGATAGCACGGCAGGTCCCACCTGGGCACGCTAGGAGCAGGGACTATTATCGCGGTGGTCCCGAGAGAAGAGGCGGGTCCTCCGCCCTTGAGGTACAATCCCTGTGGGTCGCGGAGAGAAAAAGAAGAGATGTGACCACAAAGTACATGACTCGAGCCGGAATCGAACCGGCGGCTCCTGCTGAACGCTGTTTTCGTCGGGATTGGGAGCAGGGTGAACCTCCGCTATCGAGTCATTCCATCTTGCACTCAGTTCCTGAATATCTGTTTAGATGTTGGGGGATTGGAAAGGGATGGAGAGAGCGTTGATGGATAAGTCGTTGCGGTTGGGTCGCGCGAGACGCCAAGAATTAATTAGCGTAGAGAATCACGGAAATAGGGCTCGCGCGCATTGCCGAATTGCGGATCCACCTATCAATTGCACCGATAGAAAAAAACGAACCTATATAAGCAGTGGTCCATTTCTATCGAATCACGGCCTAACCACCTTGTCGTCCACGAATATCGCAGGCCCCTCGGGCATCGTGCCGATCGCAGCCGTAGCGGCGGCGTCGAGGATCGGCGGCGCGTAGAACTCCCAGTCGAGCGTCCCGCCGTACGCGCGAGGGAGGTTCTCCGCGTCGAAGAGCTCGAGGAGCTTCTCGGTCGGGTTCTTGCCGAGGATGTGGATCTTATTGCGCGTGCCGGGGTCGAACCAGCCCTGCAACCGTACACTATTTAACGCGAAATGTGCAACGAGTAAGGGAGAAAGTACATTTATCCAGCCCCAAATCGTCGGGAAGAAGCTCGGCGCGTTGACGATGACGATCGTGCTAAGGGTCTCGGGGTAGTTTGCCGACGCGAGGGTGATGGATTCGGAGAGGTGGCTGCGGAGACTCCACATGAGCCCGAAGGAGAGGCCCTTGAGATCGACGATCGTCGTGACGCAGGTAATGGGCGTCTGGTTTGTGTGCGGGAGGGCGCTGCAGAGTGGCATGACGAAGCGGACCATCGCTTCGCAGAGGACGACGCTGCCAGGGGCGGGTGAGCCGGGGTCAGGGCAGGGGCAAGGGAAGACAAACATGCGCTGGTAGCGACGCTCTGCGGGCGCGGCGTTCAACGCTTTCTGCGCCGCAGAGTCCATCGTCGCGAGGCGGAACACGTAGATCGGTACGCCGTTCTATAAAGATAATGATGAGTGATCCAGGAAACCTCCACGCGTTCGATGCTAACCTTATCCCGCCTTCCCGTCCAACTCGAATAGCCGCGACGGCCGTTCTCGAACTCCGCAGTTTCAAAGGAGGCGAACGTATTGTCGACGTCGTGCTTCTGCCTCCAGGCCACATGGTCCGAATACTGCTTCAGCGCGCCGGCGGTGTCCCAGCTTCGCGCGCGCAGGAACCGTCTGAAGGGGTTGATTAGCCAATAGACGGCGAAGATGTCTCACACGCACAGCAGAGTTGGGTCGTCGGGGGACGGCTGGGCAGGCTCGTAAAGCTTCGCCTCGACGAGCGCGAGTTTAAAGGCTGCAAGGGCATCCTCCTGAGCAGTTGAGAGATGCCCCAGATGGCCCTCAAATATGTTGAATGGGGTTGCGGTGTTTGCCATGTAGTCTGGGAGTTCGGGAATCGAGGAGAGACCACCGCAACTCCTAAGTATGCCAGCGCACGGCCACCGGTTAAACGGACCGGTCTGCGAAGGCCACTATCCCCAACGGGATTTAATATTTTCTCACCCGTTCTCACCGGGCTTTGAATATTAATCCCCGTATAACTCTGGTTGCGTTTTCAAAAACCGTATAAAACGGAGAATATATACTTTTGCCGGCACGAAGCCGACGGTTTCGGTCCTATATAAACCAGAGGCATAAATGTACGAACGGTCCTACATCTTAGTATTGTTGTGAAGACTCATTACGCAGTCCTCCGCAGTCCTCACGGGCCAAACAATTCCAGTGCCGGGGACAGTCTCCCTGGAAATGGGCTGGAAATAAGTAGCGAGTGTTTTAAATGAGGCACGTACGATCCTCAGACGCGAGTTGTCCGTGGACCGTGTCTGGAGAATGGTCTGCCCTGGGAAACGCAAACATGGTGTAACAAGAAGATTTGCGGAATGTGGAGCAAGCCACCCAAACTGAAGGCCGGAGGTCACCGTCAGGCACAGCTCTTGAGTCGGCGAAAACTTGGGGAATGCAAAAAGGTGAGGAAGCTTTTATTGCTACACGTGGAAAGGCCTGGCCAGCAATTAGATTACAAGTGTATCATCTCGAAAGGTTCGATGACGAAGATACGGGCGTGCTACTCCGGCTTCCCGGGCTTATATTGTGCGATGTTCATCAGGATTACACATGTCAGCAACCGAACTTCGCGATCTGCCAAGTCCATCAGGTCAGAGACATGCGCCAGGATGTCTGTTCCGGCTAATGCTACGAGACTATCTGGTATTTGGCTGAAGCTGGCGAGCGCGGAAAGCACGCCTGTGTGGACCGTGATGTTGGCGTGCCTATGTTAGAATGAGGGACGGAAAAACGTAATTTTTGACGAAGGTCTCACTTTAGAAGAGGCACGAGCTGAGGGCAGGGATTTAAGGCCAAGGTGGCCCTTCTCGTTGTATCATGGTGCACCAGCCTCTCCAGTAGCAGGACTGCGGCGGTGATGGTAGGGACTCGAGTGTTCAGTGAAAGCATGTCTGGAAGGAAGTCCATAACATTGGCCTCTACAGCAGCCTGCGCCCCTGGGAGCGATTTGGCGATCTCGGATAATGCCTTGACCGCCCGCTCAATGACGACAAGATTTCGGTCACTGGTTCTAAATCAGCGGTATGTCTAGGTCAAGGGTATTGCGACTCACAATAAGAGGGAGACAAGGGGGAGGCATGATTTCGCGCCCACGACGGCGGACGCCGTGGTCTCGTGGGAAGCCAACCATCCCAACATCGTAGAGATCCATATCCGGACCTCGCCTGCGGCGATTCAAGTAGGCCCGGCAGCAAACCCAGCATCTGTGCATCCAAGATAGCCTGTGCACCATCCGCGAATTGGGCGATTCCGGAGAGGACATATGCAGCAAGCCACACATCGTCGAGGGCGTCGCCTCTGCTAGAAAATTAACGCGTGGTTTACCTACTGAACATCGGGACGCACCGCAAGAGGGATACAAGCTGTTGGTACGGGTTTTCCCTCAAGACGGATGACACTGTGAGCTCCTCGTGTGCTAGAGCTCCCAGTAGCTCGCAAGTCCATCTCTGGATCCCGGTGACCGGTGATCCCAGCAGGTCGGACACATAGTCCAAAACCTTGGCGTCCACGACTGCCTGAGCTCCTCTGGATGAATATGCAATTCTGCAAAGCGCCTCCACTGCATCCTCGATGACCTCACTATTTGCATCGCTAGTTTAAAAAATCAGCCAGGAAGCAAAATGTTTTAAACGGACACGGGACGCACTGCAAAAGAGGAACGAGCCGCGTGGAGGGATTCACAGCCAAGACGGGCCGCCAGTCGCTTGCCGTGAGAGATCCCACAACTCTACACGCCCACATCCGAACCTCTGCCGCCGGTGATTCGAGAAGGGCGGGAAGGACATCCATGAAGTTCGCTTCCACGACAGCCCGTGCACCGCCCGAAAACATGGAGATCCAAAACAGCGCCTCTGCAGCTCTGCCGATAACCTCAATAGTTGTGTCGCTGCACCAAATTAAACAGCATGTCGAAAGAAACACCATCTCGACACACCGTAGCAGTAACACGAGTTTTTGTTCCAACTTCATACTCAAAATGGCCTTGAGGCTGTGCTGGTGATGGGCGAGGCATCCTAAGAGTCAAGACGTCGCACGTCCATCGGCGGACTTGAGTGTCCAGCGATACCAGTAGTTCAGGGACAACATCCAAGAGCTTTGCGTTCCCGGCGGCCCGCGCGCCTTCAGGTGAGGTGGCAATCCGCGCTAGTGCATGCGCCGCACTCGCGATAACCGTAATATTCTGTTCACTGTTTGCGGGTCAGCATTACATCCCACTCCAGGGATTCTGCGCGGGGACTCACCGCAAAAGAGTAACGAGCTGTAGGCAGGGATTTACGCCTACGTTTAACAGGGCCGCCGCGCTCGTCTTGTGCTCGGCTAAGTGTGCCACCGTTTCACACGTCCGTCTACGAACTTCTGCGTCGGGGAATTTAAGAAGTGTAGGCAGACATTGTAGCATTTTCGTGTTGACGGCACGCCGCTTTTCGTCCGGAAAGGCGCCAGTACATAACAAAAGATTTACCGCACACTCGATGACCGCTGTATCTGTGTCACTGGATAAATATCAACATTCCAGTCCGCGAGAAGGAATAAGTGGGACTCACTGCAGGAGAGTGACTATCTGAGGTCCAGAGGTGACGCCGAGGACCGCCTCCAGCGTGGACTCGTGACACGCTAGCATTCCCAGCATCAAGCACGTCGATTTGAGGACCTTTCTGTCGGACGACCTGAGGAATTCGTTGACAAGATCCAAGACTTGGGAATCCACCACAATGCGTGCTTCATCTTCAGACCTCGCTCGGTTATACAGCTCCAGGATAATCGCCGTCTTCGTGGAAGGCGACACATATTTAAACCTATGGGATGTGTCACCCGGAGCTCGAGTGAAAAAAGACCAGCGTACGAGAGATAGCTTGAATAGGTCTCCATGTTCTCTTGCGAAAGCGGGGTCCCACGATTCTCGGCGATGTAGGCAAGGGCCTTTCGGTGATACATCAGCTTCATCAACGGCTTCGCGGCTGCGTGCAGATTGATGTTGGGACCCCTCGGGTTACTATCCGACCACCAGCTCCGTATGCTGTCGGGTGTCCGCTGGCGTGTTGCTGGGTGCATGGATGAGAGGTGGAGAATTGAGGAGTACAGGAGCGACAGAGAGAGCGGGGCCAACACGGGTGCTTTTGTATCACAGCCTCCCCGTCATGGCAATAGCTGCGCTGTT